TCCTCTGGTCTCCCACATGGGTGCAGGGACCCAAGGACTTGGGCCATCTTCCACTGCTTTCCCAGGCCATAGCAGAGAGCTGGATCGGAAATGGAGCAGCCAGGTCTCGAACCAGCACCCATGTGGGATGCAGCGCTTCAGGCCATGGCAGTAACCAGCTGCACCACAGCGGTGGCCTTCATTATCCTTAAGTTATATTATCGTAGATTATACCTTCCAGGCCCACACTAGTGGTAATATTCTAAAAATATGAAACACAAGATTGAGACAATAGTTTCCTATTTTAAAAATGTAAGGGTCTTAAAATTGCATAACAATTGGCCGGCACCGCGGCTCACTAGGCTAATCCTCCGCCTAGCGGCGCCGGCACACCGGGTTCTAGTCCCGGTTGGGGCGCCGGATTCTGTCCCGGTTGCCCCTCTTCCAGGCCAGCCCTCTGCTGTGGCCAGGGAGTGCAGTGGAGGATGGCCCAGGTGCTTGGGCCCTGCACCCCATGGGAGACCAGGAAAAGCACCTGGCTCCTGGCTCCTGCCATCGGATCAGCGCGGTGCGCCGGCCGCAGCGCGCCGGCCGCGGCGGCTATTGGAGGGTGAACCAACGGCAAAGGAAGACCTTTCTCTCTGTCTCTCTCTCTGTCCACTCTGCCTGTCAAAAAAAAAAAAAAAAAAAAAAAAAATTGCATAACAATAGTTTATTCAAATCTGATGGCACAAGTCATATATTTTCTTCTAAATTTATTATAATTCCAACCAAGCTAATATCAAAGAATTATTCAAAACAATTCCCAGAGCACTCATTTCAATCTCCTTTCAATGCATACAGCCATGGTAACTTATATTTCTAACATAATTTCAAAATTTTGAAAGATACTAAGTTCTTATTGATCATCAAAGAAAAACTAAGTTACAGTCAGATTTTTTTTACTATGGAACCTATTGATAACAAATATGTTGGTTGAGGTTTTATTGTGTTTATAACCTGGATATACAAAAATTATAAACACGTGAAATCCCACTGGTAGAACATTAAAGTATTAATATCATACCTTTCCCTATCATATTTTTAAACATAAGTTTATTTTCATGAAAACAATAGTAACTCAAGTTTTTAAGCAAAACAATCTAAACACCTCCAATTTACTAAAGAACGCTTTTCATTGAAGTATTTTTTCTTCTGAATTTTGGTCTTTCCTTTTATTCATCAAGTACAATGTCAATAAGAATACAGTAATAGTAGTTATACTGTATTTCATGTCAGAATCTCTTTTTTCTTGAGGCTTTATTTTAACTCAAGGAGAGCTTGAAAAAGAAAGCATCTCTAAAGAATGAATATTGGTCAATTTTTCCAATATAGACTCGAGTTCTACGAACATATCTGGATAAAGATGATGATGGGAACAAAAACAAAAATGTACACAATTTATGCAAAAATGATATTGCTGTGGAGAAGAAAAAGATCCCAAGAGAGAATGCCATCAATATTTATTTATGAATCATCATCCTGATTGTGAGTATCATGAATGATATTATTACTCTACTTTCTCTGAATGTAGCAATTACTTCTACAGGAAAATCCTTCATTCATCTGATGTTTCCCTGCTGACCAACTATTCAGCAATGATTGCCACAACATTAAATGATATGGAAAATACATACTTCAAAACTGTCTGAACTAATATAAGCTTTTTCTATACATCCTCATACTTCCAGAGCCTTTAAGTCATAGCAATACCCAAACCTTAAGTTAGGGAAAGACTAGAGCGAAAAACTATGTGGTAACCGTGATAAGGAATATAAACACAGTATCTGCATGGCTTTAACTCTTATGAAATCTTTTAAAGATAGCTTTAAAAGAATAACACAGGGGTTGACACTGTGGCACAGATGGTTAATGTCCCTGCCTGTAGGGCCAGCATCTCATATGGGCACTGGTTTGATTCCTAGCTGCTCCACTTCCTATCCAGTTCCCTGCTGATGCACCTGGGAAAGCAGTGGAGGATGACCCAAGTCCTTGGGCCCTTGAATCTGAGTGGGAGACCTAGAAGAAGTCCCTGACCCCTGGCTTTTGATCAGCTCAGCTCCAGTTATTGTGGCCATTTGGGGAGTGAACTAGCAGATGGAAGACCTCTCTCTCTCTCTCTCTACCTCTTCCTTTAACTCTGTCTTTCAAACAAAATAAAATAAATCTTAAAAAACAAGAATAATGCAAAAATATGCAATGAATGATTAAGGCATATTAACTATTTGAGATATGAATTGATGGTTAAGAAACAGATTAGATATGTGCTCTGATTTGGATATGCCACCCTAAAAGTTAATGTGTTGGAAACTTAATCTCCTAATTAATGTGTTAGTAGTTTTGGAGGCATTGTCTTTGTGAAGCAATTAGGACTAGATGAAGTCTTAAGGGTACAGCTCCCAGGATGGTATTAGAAGATTTTAAAGAATTTTATTAATATAAAGAAAACAGATTTCATAGATACAATTCTAAGACAATAAACATATTTCTCTGCCTCCCTCCTTCAACCTCCTTCTTACTTCCTTTCTTTTTTATTGCTTTAATTTTTGCAATGACATAAACTTAGTTTACTTTACAATCATAGTTTTAATGTACCACTAACAAGCAAAAAGTAGAAAGATCACAGGAGTATAGATAAGGTTATACACAATGATTAAATCATAAAATATCAGTTTCACTCTTTTACTTTTTTTTGTATTCCATATTAGATACAACATACCAGATAAAACATGATCCTTGTCTATTGGGGATTGGCTTATTTCAGTATGCATAATGGTCTCTCATTGCATTGTTTGTTATTTTGTTGCAAAAGACATGATAATAATGAAATTTCTGTCACTAAGTAGCATTTTAAAGAAAATGACATAACCTACACTAGCACTCTTCCTCGGTCTTGCCATGTGATGCCCTTTGCCAGGTTATGATCCACCAAGAACATCCTCTACAGATGTCCAGGACAGATGCCAGTGCCATACTCACTAGGTACTCATCCTCCAGAATTGTGAGCCAAAAGAAATTTCTTTAAAATTGTCCATTCTTTATTATTTATTATAGCAACAGGAAACATGATAAGATAATATCTCAGGTATGACTATAAAAAATCTGATATTTAATTCCTGATTGACTGTGTCCAGCAGAAAACACTTCAGTCTCCCAGACAAAAAAGTCAATATTTTCACAAATGCCACAAGTATAATCAAAAAAGAAACTTTCTAAATATTGATCAAATCATACCTTAATAGAGAAGGACAGAACAGATGTATGTACAACAAATTACTTTATCACTTCAAATTTTATAAGAGTTTTGAAAATTGAGATAAAGCCTCCACTGTACAAAAACTGAATGTTAGCTCATAGCATTGAGGACAAACCTTTAACATGGATATATCCAAGGAAACCAAGTCCAATGACTTTTTTCCTACTGTAAACTATAGTGAATAAGTTAGATCTTTGGCCTTCTCTGATATTTTTAGCAGTCCATTAAAAAGGATTAAAATGTGAAGGCACTTAAAGTTTTCCAAAGGATCAGAGATAGTAAAGATGATGGAAAGCAATATAAAAAAGAAACTCCCCACTGTGTCAAACAACAAAACAATTTCAGGTTACTGCAATGTCACTTGTTAAAGAAGAATCCCTGAGTCAACCTTTCTAAGCCATGTTATATAAACAAAGAATGAAGTTTCTGGGCTGTCGCTGTGGCCTAGTAGGTTAAGCCACTGCCTGAGGCACCTGCATCCCATAAGGGCAGCGGTTTGAGTCCCGGCTGCTCCTCTTCCTATCTAGCTCTCTGCTTATGTCCTGGGACAGCAGCAGAAGATGACTCAAGTGCTTCGGCCCTGAACCCATGTGGGAGACCCAGAGACCCAGAGATGCTCCTGGCTTCTAACTTCAGATCAACTCAGCTCTCGCCATTGCAGTTACTTGGAGAGTGAACCAGTGGATGGAAGACCTCTCTCTCTCTCTCTCTCTCTCTCTCTCTCTCTAATTCTGCCTCTCAAATACATAAAAAAATATTTTTTAAAAAAGAATTAAGTCTCATATTATGTGTTGTTACGCAGCCAACTTATTCAACGAACTCACATCTAACAAGGGTCATGGTGCATCTATGACATTTACAAGGGAAGGTCCAAAGAAGGAAAATAAATACTCTTTGGTTCTCAGCATTTAGCTAGTCAATGACAGGAAAAGAACACAGTCAATGCATTATGGGCAATCAATGCAGAACTTATACACAGAAGTTATAATTTGAAAAATTAGAGTTAGTGATTTTCTAAAGAGCATTGAGACTATCTCAGTAATAGAAATAAACAAAAGCAGGTAAAAATATAAAGAGAAAAGAATCCAAGGATGCTGATTAAAAAAAAAAAAAGAACAGGAAGAAATAGGGGTCAGTGTTGTGTGGCAAAGTGGGATAAACTCCTGCCTGTGATGTTGACATCCCATATGAGTCCCAGCTACTCTACTTCCAATCCAGCTCCATGCTATTGACCTGAGAAAGCAGTGGGAAATGCCCCAATAACTTGGATGTTTGCCACCCATGAGGGATACCTGGATGGAGTTCCTGGCTCCTGGTTTCAGCCCATACCAGCTCTGACTGTTGAGTCCATTTCAGTAGTAACCCAGTAGAAAGAAGGTCTCTTCTTTCCTTTCTCTCCCCACCTCTCTCTCTCTTTCTCTCTCTCTCTGTAACTCTACCTTTCAAATAAATAAATAAATCTTTTTTTAAAAAAGGGAAAAGTAATTCAGAGTAGAGAACCACAAGCTTGAAGCAGAGGCATCCAGGCAGAGAACTACACAGCAGCAGTGGGAGGCCAGAGGTGAAGACGTGACATGGATAAGAACTGCGGAGAGCTGCAAAAGAAGTCTCACCTAGAGAAGACTCTGGACCACAGGCTAAATGAAAACAACAGGCATTATCCACAGTGAGTGTTCACTAACATTACTGACATCTTCCTTCATAATAAGAGATACTTGTTACTTACCCGATTTAAATGGTTGTTTCCTAAAATAACTTGTAGTAGAGTTTTCTCAAATTCTTCCAACTTCTTGGAACACTTTTTAAGAATATGACTAGATAAGTTACTATCACTGATCAGGCTAGCCAAAGTACCAACAGCTTCTGTACAAAAGCTTGAAAAGGGAAGTTTGGGATTACGATAGAAAGTGATCAGGCCATCCAGCAACTGAAAAACAGAATCAGAGACTGTGGAAGAGTCTTTCTCAAAATGGGTTAAGTCTGTTTTCAGACTACCTGATTCTGTCAAATTCTTTAATTTAAGTAGATGTTGCAAAAACTGCATGTGAGAAGACAGAGGATTTCCTGGGGTAGCACTAGGTCTTTTCGAAAGTGGCAGTGGTAGAAAAGGTGTGGGTGTGCAGCTTTCCAAAAAATCCTGGGACAGCTCTGAAGCTTCAATTCTCTGCTCATTTGATAAATCGCATCCAGAATCTTCCATCAGAGATAATGTATTCTCAGAAATGGGTTCCTGAGCCTGTAACTGGGAAGATAGGTTTCCTGAAACAGAAAGGAATAAAAGAGTTATCTTCCTGTAGCTAAAATTTCTTAACATAAAAACTAGATACTGATTTTTCTAAACTTAAAATACTAAATGAAGCATTACATACATACATATTAAACATTTAGCAAGTAGTAGTATAAAAACTACATAGAGGAAAAACTGAAATAAATTATTTAATATTTAATTATGTAAAGAAATTACGTAATATGACTAATTGTTTAATATGACTATCTTCACAGCTAGAAATCAAAAGTGATTCACCCATGTATTTTCCAGTTCCTGTGTCTCAGTCAACTGCATGCCATACCTGAGAGATACAGAGAATACCACTTGACCCAAAGGTGATCATAGGCTGGTATAGGTTCTAAGAGGTGACAACCAAGCAATAAAGTATATCCAGAGATGGATACTTCCTTGGGCAGTAAGAAAATAGGAGGACCATTAAACAGCCCACTGTGTCTGGGGAGGTTAATGTATCTAGGAAAATGTCATGCTGGAACTACTCAAAAAGTAAAGAAAGAATTCAAAGTTAAAGTTGGGGAAATGGAAAAAGTCAAGAGAATTACATATATCAAAGTTCAAATAGATTGATGCTGTTTTCACAGCAAGAGATTAAGATAAGTAAAATGTAGGCTAGATCATAAAAGATCTTATAAGATGTGTTAAGAACCTTGGAATTTATCCTATGGTTTATAGAATCGAATCCCAACTTGAACAATGTAAGATCACTTTGGAAAAATTACACACACAAACAGGTACCAAATATGTAAATGCAAATACAGACAATATTTCCATCTTTTGTGTACATGTATGTGTTATAAATACAGATAAATACAAATACAGATTTAGGTTAGTGAAACCATGCCTATAACCTCTCCAATCTTTTGATTCTGACTGAGAAATGCTGTATTTAAAGCCCGAAACTAGTAACTTCAGGTCATTCTTTGACAGATATGTCATTATAAACACAAACGAGGAGGTGGATTTTTTAAAAAAAAATGATTATGAGTGAAATATATGAGCTAAATATAAAAGTTCTCAATGAACATTTAATCTATATATATTGGCTACTGGTAATGGGGACAGGAATTAGGTGTGAAAAGCTGTAGTACAGGAAAATGAAATGCTATTTTCATTTGAAAAAGCATTGTGTTGGATGTCTATAGGAAGTGGAAATTCAAGGAAAATATAATGTAACATTGAGAGATCAATTAATCAATATCAGGGAATGGAAGAAATGAACAACAACTAACTGAGCACCAAAAAGGAAATCTGTTAAAGTGAAATGAACACTAGGAGAAATGATGACTTGATCAGCCCTCGCCCAGACTGTTGATGAACAACTTAATATGTTATCCCTCCTAGTATTTTTGTTTGTTTGTTCTACTTAATACTATTGGTTGAATACTGTAATCAATACACAGTTATTCTCAAGTGTTGAAAACTGAAAAGTGATCACTGTTAAATATAAGAGTGGGAATAAGAGAGGGAAGAGATGTGCAATTCGGGACATGCTCAAGCTGACTTACCTCAAACGGTAGAGTTAGAAACATACCAGGGGATTCCAATTCAATCCCAACAAGGTGGCATGTACCAATGCCATCTCACTAGTCCCAGTGATCAATTTCTGTTCACAATTGATCATAATGATAGGACTAAGAACCAAAGGGATCACATAAACATGAATAGTGTCTGCAAATACTAGCTGATAGAATAAAAAAGGGAGAGAAGGATCCAACATGGGAAGTGAGATACACAGCAGACCCATAGAATGGCAGATGTCCTAAACAGCACTCTGGCCTCTGAATCAGCCCTTAAGGCATGTGGATCCGGCTGAAAAGCCCATGAGAGTATTTCAGGCATGGAAAGCCAAGACAAACTGAAAGATCTCCACAAGTGAGATCCCAGTGGAAAGAACAGGTCATCAAAGAAGGAGGTACCTTTCTCTGAAGGGAGGAGAGAACTTCCACTTTGACCATGGCCTTGTCTAAATCAGAGTCGGTGAACTCAGGGGGCTTCCATAGCCTTGGCAGCTCATGACAAGAGCCTAGGGTGATTACTGAGGCCATCAACAAGAGTGTCAATTTGTTAAGTCAACAACAGGAGTCACTGTGCACTTACTCCTCATGTAGGATCTCTGTCCTTAGTGTGCTGTACATTGAGATTTAATGCTATAGCTACTATTCAAACAGTATTTTTCACTTTATGTTTCTGTGTGGGAGCAAACTGTTGAAATCTTTACTTAATGTATGCTAAACTGATCTTCTGTATATAAAGAGAATTGAAAATGAATCTTGATGTGAATGGAAGGGGAGAGGGATTGGGAAAGGGGAGGGTTGCGGGTGGGAGGGACGTTATGGGGGGTAAGCCATTGTAATCCATAAACTGTACTTTGGAAATTTATATTCATTAAATAAAAGTTAAAAAAAAGAAAAAAAGAAAGAAATGAACGAAGCAGCTACTGTAGAAGAGCAAGAAAATGCTTTACCTGGGAAACACATACAAAATATCAAAATATAACTTTGAAACCAGATTACTGACTGCATTTGGGTAATAAAGTAGAAGGAAGAATAAATGCATCCCATGGTTCTGACTCAGGTGACTGGATAAATGACAGAGCTAACAATTAAAATGCCCAAATACAAAGAACTGGCTTAGGAGAGACAATGACAAGTTTAGGGTTGATGATGTAAATGTTCAAGCAGCCAGATAAAATCCACACAGCACAGTTCATATAGAAATTGGGCTAAATGAAAAATACATTTTTGGAGTCAACAGTGTGTAGGGGATATCTCAGACTTTGAAAATGGTCACAATCACTCAAGAAGAGAATGGGCAGCAAGTAAAACAAAGGATCAAAGTGTGATCCTGAAGGGCATCAATAGTTGAGAGCTAGGTGGAGAAAGAACCATTACTAAGGAGAAAGAAAAGTAAGATCAAAGTGGTACAGGAATGATAAAAATGTGTCAAGGAGACAGCTTCAAGGAGAATTGCATGCAGTGAAGAAGTGTTATAAAACAGAGGATAGAAAAAAAAAAGATCTACTGGACTCGCCAATTAGAAAATCACCAGGAACAAATCCATACCAGCTTTATTCACAGAAGCTTTGGTCAATCAGGGTGACAGAGGACTGGATAGAATGGTCTAAATGAACAGGAAGAAAGTAAGCAAACAGTGGCCAACTCTTCTGAGGACTTTGATCTGGACAGTATAAAATGGATAATAATTATAGACAAATATGGTGTGATAAATCGAAATTGGAAGACATTTGAACTAATTCAGACAAAAAAAGAAAAATGAGAGAGATGCAGAGATCAGAGTTATAAGAGAAAATAAGAGTGGCAGGTGTGGGGCCAGCATTGTAGGACAGCTAGCTAAATCATCACTTGAAACACAGGCATTCCTTATAGGAGTGCTGGTCTAGTCCTGTCTGCTCTGCTTCTGATCAAGCTTTCTGCTGATTGCCTAGAAAAGCAACAGAAGATAGTTCAAGTACTTACACCCCTGCCACCCATAAGAGAGACCAAGATGGAATCCTGGCTTTGATCTGGCCCAGACTCAGCCGTTATAGCAATTTCAGAAGTAAACCAGTGGATAGATTTCTCTCACTGTCTCTCCCTCCCTCTCTGTCACTCTGCCACGCAAATAAATAAATTAATGAATAATTTTTTTTTTTTTGACAGGCAGAGTGGACAGTGAGAGAGAAAGAGACAGAGAGAAAGGTCTTCCTTTGCCGTTGGTTCACCCTCAAATGGCCGCCACGGCCGGCACGCTGTGGCCTGCACACTGCGCTGATCCGATGGCAGAAGCCAGGTACTTCTCCTGATCTCCCATAGGGTGCAGGGCCCAAGTACTTGGGCCATCTTCCACTGCACTCCCTGGCCACAGCAGAGAGCTGGCCTGGAAGAGGGGCAACCGGGACAGAATCCAGCGCCCCGACCGGGACTAGAACCCGGTGTGCCGGCGCCGCAAGGCGGAGTATTAGCCTAGTGAGCCAGAGCGCCAGCCTTTTTTTTTTTTTTTTTTTTTTAAAGAATGGTAGGTGTGACACGTGGCCCTGGAGAAGGTAGGAGACTGAATTAATTAGCTCAATGGATGGTGGCTTAGTATGTGGAAATAAACTTTTTCATGAGAGACTAAAGGAAACAAGAGAATAATGTACATTATGTACAAAAACTATGAGTCATTCAAGTGCTTAAAGAGGTCTAACCCAACACTGATAGTTTCTTAAAGTTGGAGATAGGGAGATAGAGCATAAGAACAGTGAAACTGACATTTGCTATGCTGTCCACCATATATTTGTAAACCTACATAATTTGTTGCCCTTTTGTACTTCAGTAAAATCAGAAGCTGAGGAAGTAAAATCAGAGGATACAGTTTTAATTTAGAATTCACATATTTAACAAGTGCCTATTATATCAACTGCAAATGTGCAGATATATACTTGCAAATCATCAATAAAGCATCTGAACTCCAAGCTTAGGGAGATAACACAAAAAGTTTTAAAATGTTCTTGTCTACCATCAAGGAATTTAACTGCAGGTAGCTTTTTCTATATAGAATATCCAGATAGCCTGATTATCTTAAGCAGCCCCATTTTTCATGAGCAAGAACAGACATTTGAAATGATTCCTTTTCAACATATCCACTTTCATCTTCATAAATAGTAGTAAATATTCAGGTAAATTTATACTTTTATTTCATGGAAGTCAAAATTGGTCTCTACAAAGTAAATACTTTTGTAACCCCAAGCAAATTTCCATCCAGGTAAGTTGAACTTCATGAAGAAGATTTGAAGGAAGACTTAAGATGAACTCTACTAATTAATAAACTGGACAGCAAAAGCTGATTTCTGGTTTCTATTTCCAAATCCACTCCACAAGTGTGCCTTTTGGCAAATCATGACTACTAGCATACCTTCATATGCAACAGGAACAAACTAGAAGAGAGTATTTCTACCTGGATGTTTCATTGGACAAGAATATATAAAATTGAT